TTTATACACTATATAAATCCATAGATAGATAGAAGCAGGACTCGCTCTGTTTATACACTATATAAATCCATAGATAGATAGAAGCAGGGCTCGCTCTGTTTATACACTATATAAATCCATAGAAGCAGGACTCGCTCTGTTTATACACTATATAAATCCATAGATAGATAGAAGCAGGGCTCGCCCTGTTTATACACTATATAAATCCATAGATAGATAGAAGCTGGGCTTGCTCTGTTTATACACTATATAAATCCATAGATAGATAGAAGCAGGGCTCGCTCTGTTTATACACTATATAAATCCATAGATAGAAGCAGGGCTCGCTCTGTTTATACACTATGTAAATCCATAGATAGAAGCAGGGCACGCTCTGTTTATACACTATATAAATCCATAGATAAATAGATAGAAGCAGGGCTCACGCTGTTTATACACTATATAAATCCATGGATAGAAGCAGGGCTCGCTCTGTTTATACACTATATAAATCCATAGATAGATAGAAGCAGGCCTCGCTCTGTTTATACACTATATAAATCCATAGATAGTAGCAGGGTTCACTCTGTTTATACACTATATAAATCCATAGATAGAAGCAGAGCTCGCTCTGTTTATACAATATATAAATTCATAGATAGATAGAAGCAGGGCTCGCTCTGTTTATACACTATATAAATCCATAGATAGATAGAAGCAGGGCTCGCTCTGTTTATACACTATATAAATCCATAGATAGATAGAAGCAGGGCTCGCTCTGTTTATACACTATATAAATCCATAGATAGAAGTAGGGCTCGCTCTGTTTATACACTATATAAATCCATAGATAGATAGAAGCAGGGCTCGCTCTGTTTATACACTATATAAATTCATAGATAGATAGAAGCAGGGCTCGCACTGTTTATACACTATATAAATCCATAGATAGATAGAAGCAGGACTCGCTCTGTTTATACACTATATAAATCCATAGATAGATAGAAGCAGGGCTCGCTCTGTTAGTACACTATATAAATCCATAGATAGGTAGAAGCAGGGCTCGCTTTGTTTATACACTATATAAATCCATAGATGGATAGAAGCAGGACTCGCTCTGTTTAAACACTATATAAATCCATAGACAGAAGCAGGGCACGCTCTGTTTATACACTATATAAATCCATAGATAGATAGAAGCAGGGCTCGCTCTGTTTATACACTATATAAATCCATAGATAGATAGAAGCAGGGCTCACTCTGTTTATACACTATATAAATCCACAGATGGATAGAAGCAGGACTCGCTCTGTTTATACACTATATAAATCCATAGATAGATAGAAGCAGGGCTCGCTCTGTTTATACACTATATAAATCCATAGATAGATAGAAGCAGGGCTCGCTCTGTTTATACACTATATAAATCCATAGATAGAAGCAGGGCACACTCTGTTTATACACTATATAAATCCATAGATAGATAGAAGCAGGACTCGCTCTGTTTATACACTATATAAATCCATAGATAGATAGAAGCAGGGCTCGCTCTGTTTGTACACCTTATAAATCCATAGATAGATAGCAGGGCTCACTCTGTTTATACACTATATAAATCCATAGATAGATAGAAGCAGGGCTCGCTCTGTTTATACACTATATAAATCCATAGATAGATAGAAGCAGGGCTCGCTCTGTTTATACACTATATAAATCCATAGATAGATAGAAGCAGGGCTCGCTCTGTTTATACACTATATAAATCCATAGATAGAAGCAGGGCTCGTTCTGTTTATACACTATATAAATCCATGGATAGAAGCAGGGTTCACGCTGTTTATACAGCATATTAATCCACAAATCCTGAATCTATGATTTTCTTTTCCTCTTTTTAATTCACAATGTTAATATGTAACCTTGTGATCCTGGACAGTGACACTGTGTAATTGTGACTCTTTATTTTACGTTTTATCACATTGTATCAAGCATTATATTGTTCATCATCTCTTGGATTCGTTGTGAGAGAAGCATCCATAGAACTGATTGGGTGGTGGTAAGAAAATGTCTGTGAAGATGTGTGATCTCCTTTGCGTAAGTCTGAGAAAATAGTCCTCATGTGAAGATATTTACTGCATTTTCGTTTGGAGCATAATGTTTCGTAAGTCCATACGGCACTGTTCCTCCCTTCGTAGCTGCTGGTTTTGATCCATTAATTTCTGTTTCTGGGCCTGTAGAATGCGGGTGCGATGAATGAGATGGTGAAGTTCCTGCCGTAGAAGCTGGTTTTCTTCTTTTATCTTTGTACTGACTTTCAACAATGCCTTCTTGGCCTCCGCCTGGGCAGTCTGGGACAAATGGTCCAGTTGGTGTTCTGAGTCCAACTGGCACCGTTTCTTTTCCCGTAGAAAGGCACTCTTCACCCTGAGCAGAGTCTCTGCGTGTTCCCCCCGAGTGGCCATCACCTCCTCCTCCATCTTCTTTATATGTGAAAGCTGTTCCCTCTTTAGCTCTTTCATTGGGCTCAACTCTTGAATCTCGCTGGCCAGCTTTGCCAATTTTTTTTCTCTGTGGAATAATTGCTCCCTTAGCTTTGCTTCTTCTTCCTGGAAATGTGCCTGAAGATTTTTCTTTTGTTGTCTCAAGTTCTCCAGCTCCCTCTGGTTCTGGTCACTCAGGCTGACAATAGTGTCCTGGCGACGCTGACTTTTCTTATTCATATAAGACATATACTCCTGGCTTTCCACCCGGACCTGCTCAGCCTCTTCCTGTAGAAACTCATTCTCCCTGTGAAGCTTCTCCATTTGACTCCTCAGTCTTCCATGCTCTTCTGTCAAGCGTTGGTGCTCCTGTTCGAGAATGGCCTCTCTCATGCTCACTACATCTTCTTTCTCATCTTCTTCTCCAGCAGGAATATCTAAACCAGAATTCTTAATGGGTTTCTTCTTGGGTAGCATCTGCAAGAAACATCTAATAGGTTAATTGAAATGATACAGCTAGCTGATACCCTCATTACACCAAAAGCATCCTCACACCAACTTACATCAGTGCATGCCACAATGAACCCAAAGCCAACTTATGCCCAAACATAACTCCTGGTGCTCCACCTACCTCTCCCAGCGCTCTTTCAGTATTTCTTTCTCTGGCTCTGCTTATTCTCCCCAACTCCTCTCTGTTGGTGTCCCCCAAGGTTCAGTCCTTGGTCCCCTACTGTTCTCCATCTATACTGCCTCCCTTGGTAAACTCATTAGCTCCTTTGGCTTCCAATATCATTTCCATGCAGATGACACGCAAATCTATCTGTCCTCTCCTGATCTCTCCCTGTCCCTCTTGTCTAGTGTCTCTGACTGCCTCTCTGCTGTTTCTAAATGGGTGGCTGCCCACTTCCTTAAACTAAACTTGACCAAAACTGAAATTCTGGTCTTTCCTCCCTCAAGTGTTGTTACTCCTGTGTCTGTCTCCCTCCAAGTCAACGGTGCTACCATCAGATCCACCACGCAGGCTGGAGGTATTCTCCTTGACTCTGACCTCTCCTTCAAGACTCATGTTCAGTCTATCGCCAAATCCTGTTATTTCCATCTCAAAAACATTGCGCGCATCCGCCCCAACTTAACGCCAGATGCGACTAAGGTGCTGGTCCATTCCACTGTCCTTTCTCGCCTTGACTACTGTATTCCACTTCTCAGTGGTCTTACGTGCTCCCAATGAATGCGGGTGCGAGGCTCATCTTCCTGTCTGCCCACTTCTCCCACGCCTTACCCTTAAGATCCTATAAGATATAGAGCTCAATTTAAAATTCTGGTTCTTGCTATCAAATCTCTACATAATGCTGCTCCCACCTATCTATCCTCCCTTATACATAAGTATGTCCCGTCTAGGCCCTTACGATCTGCTGAAGACTGTTCGTACTCCCACCTCTGATGCTCGCCTTCAAGATTTCTCGAGGGCTGCACCGTTCCTGTGGAACTCGCTTTCCTCCTCCGTTAGATGCTCACCCAGTCTCCACTCCTTCAAAAAAATCATTAAAAACCCACTTCTTCATAAAAGCGTATCAATTAAACTGTTAATAGCTCCTGACTGATTCCTCTTCTGCAACTGTCACTTGTCTAATACTATCCTTTCCTTTTTGTGTCATTTTATCCCACTCCCTCTAGCATGATAGCTCATTGAGGAGGGCCCTCAACCCCTCAGTTCCTGTGTGTCCAACTATTCTGGTTACAACTACATGTCTGTTCGTCCACCCATTGTAAAGCGCTGCGGAATTTGAGTCGAGGTACATGCTGGTATTATATGGGTATTTATAGTGGGAGTGTCAGTGAGTCGAGGTACATGCTGGTATTATATGGGTATTTATAGTGGGAGTGTCAGTGAGTCGAGGTACATGCTGGTATTATATGGGTATTTATAGTGGGAGTGTCAGTGAGTCGAGGTACATGCTGCTATTATATGGGTATTTATAGTGGGAGTGTCAGTGAGTCGAGGTACATGCTGCTATTATATGGGTATTTATAGTGGGAGTGTCAGTGAGTCGAGGTACATGCTGCTATTATATGGGTATTTATAGTGGGAGTGTCAGTGAGTCGAGGTACATGCTGCTATTATATGGGTATTTATAGTGGGAGTGTCAGTGAGTCGAGGTACATGCTGGTATTATATGGGTATTTATAGTGGGAGTGTCAGTGAGTCGAGGTACATGCTGGTATTATATGGGTATTTATAGTGGGAGTGTCAGTGAGTTGAGGTATATACTGTTATTAGTGGGGGTCATTAACTTGTACTTATGAGAGTCTCAATTGGGGTTATGTTGGCTCATTTGGCTAATATCACGCAGTATGTAATATAAGATAATTAAGTATATGTAATAAAATCAGCTAATATCAGACAGTATGGAATATAAGATATTAAGTTGTATGTAATAATATGAGCTAATATCCCACAGTATGTAATATAAGACAATTCGGAGTATCTAATAATATAATCTAATATATATAGTATGTAATATAAGATAATTTAATGTATGTAATAATATCAGCTAACCACACAGAATACAGTATAAGATATTACAGTGTATGTAATAATATCAGTTATATCACACAGAATATGATATAAGATATTACAATGTATGTAGTAATATCAGCTAGTATTACACAGTATGTAATATAAGATTTTACGGTGTATGTAATAATAACAGCTAATATCACACAGTATGTAATATAAGATATTACAGTGCAGGTAATAACAGCTAATATCACACAGTATGCAATAAAAGCTATTACTGTGTATGTAATAATAGTTAATATCACACAGTATGTAATATAAGCTATTACGGTGCATGTAATAATAGCTACTATCACACAGTATGTAATATAACATATTACGGTGCATGCAACAACAGCTAATATTACACAGTATGTAATGTAAGATATTACGATGTATGTATTAATAACAGCTAAAATCACACAGTATGTAATATAAGATATTAAGGTGCATGTAATAATAGCTAATATCACACAGTATGTAATATAAGATATTACAGTGTATGTATTAATAACAGCTAATATCACACAGTATGTTATATAAGATATATTATCGTGCATATAATAACTAAAATCACACCGTATGCAATATAAGCTATTACGGTGTTTGTATTAATAACAGCTAATATCACAGTATGTAATATAAGATAATATGGTGTATGTAATAATAGTTAATATCACACAGTATGTAATGTAAGATATTATGGTGCATGTAATAATAGCTAATCGCACACAGTACGCAATATAAGCTATTACGGTGCATTTAATAATAGCGAATATCACACAGTATGTAATATAAGTTATTACGGTGTATGTAATAATAGCTAATATCACACAGTATGTAATAAAAGATATTACGATGCATGTAATAATAGCTAATATCACACAGTATGTAATAAGCTATTACATGTGTGTGTAAAAGTAGCTAATATCACACAGTATGCAATATAAGCTATTACGGTGTATGCAATATAAGCTATTGCAGTGTATGTAATAATAGCTAATATCACACAGTATGTAATAAAAGATATTACGATGCATGTAATAATAGCTAATATCACACAGTATGTAATAAGCTGGGATGTATTGCCCTTTAAAGACATGATTTGGGCATAATGGATTTGTGTTGTGCTGCTGCTGGCCCTTTAAGAACCATCTGGGGACATACTGTGGAGTTACTGGGTGGCCACCATTTCCTGTATCAGAAGCACATGGTGAGAACAATGGATGGCGCCATTTTAACTCACAGACACTGTTTGGACTTTTCAACACGGTGCCATCTCGCCAGTATTTGTTGCACAGAGACATCGTGCGTTGGTTTTGGACTATACAGCAGGGGACACATTATACAGTAATTGTTTTTCATTTAGCCTGTATATGTTCTGCAGAATCTGCATTAAACTGTATTTTCCAAAGTACTGAACGGATCTGGGTGAATTTTGGATATGTGGTTCACCCAGATCCCCCGGTTCCAAGGATATACTTTTTATGGGGTTATTGCATGTTTTGGGGTCCCTGTGTGTTTTATGAAACTGTATTATTTCTGGCCAGCAGATAATTGAGCTTTGTGTATTGTAGAAACTCAATTATCTAGCCTGGCCCAGAGGAGGAGTTTTGTGTTGCATAAATTGTGAGTTCTGTGTACCAGTAAATCAGTCTTGTTCCAGCATTAAGCCTTGGCTCATGTTTGGGGGATTGGAGAAATACACTCTGGGCAGGGCCGGATTAAGAGCACACTGGGCCTGGTGCTGACAATTATGATGGGCCTAATTACGGAATTTTATCGACCAAAAACACTAAAACAGTCATACATCCCAAGCGTCATGTATCTGATGGAGATGGTGCTGGAGGGAAACTCATAGGATGTAGCTATAAGAAAAAACATACTCTATGCTTATCTCTCTCTAATTTATGCTTTCATCTTTCAAGTAAATCCATACCCCCTAACAGCACTGTCCAGTGAAGCAGGAAGTCAATAGGCGGGGTAAAAGGGTGGGCCACTGGTGCAAATCACGTGACCAGACCTGCCAAAAGGGGTGAACATGCCCAAAAAGGGGGCATGTCTGTCCAAAGAATTTGAAGGACAGCCTGGCATGAATGCATGTCAGGCTGCCCGCCTATCCTGCAGGCTGTCCAACTAAGGGCATACTATGCAGGCAGCACCCTGAGCTTGACATACATGCATCTAATGATGCGCTCACTCCATGCTTTCTAAGGACTGTCCCCTGGCACTCGCTGGTCCACTTATCTCCTTACCTTCTTACTAGCAGGCAGAAGCTCCTGGTATATAATCTGGGACAGAGAAAAGATGTATGTAGTGAGTGTAGAAGAAAGGGGACATGCCACAGTGTTAGAGAGGCCAATGTCTGCATTACCTAAACTAATTTTATTGTCATCCAGTCCACACAAGTTTTGTTCCCATACATTCCTCTTAAGCTTACAAACTTAAAGGGACACTATAGTCACCAGAACAACTACAGCTTGTTGTATTTGTTCTGGTGAGAAGAATCATTCCGTTCAGGCCTTTTACAGTAAACACTGTCTTTTCAGAGAAAATAACTCCACTGACCACTCCTTAGATGGCTGCTAGAGGTGCTTCCTGGGGCAGTACTGCCTAGTGTGCAGCACTGCCATTCAGTGTCTCCACCCTCTGCATGCAGACACTGAACTTTCCTCATAGAGATGCATTGATTCAATTTATCTTTATGAGGAGATGCTGATTGGCCAGGGCTATGTTGGACTTGTGCTGGCTTTGCCCCTGATCTGCCTAGTTGACAGTCTCAGCCAATCCTATGGGGAAGTATTGTAATTTGCTCAGACCACCACTTCTGATGATGTCAGCAGACAGTCAGTTCAGAGGCAGAGCCAGCAGCTGCAGACTTGAATACAAGTTATATTTTACTATACTTAGGGAGGCAAGAAGGGGCCGGGGTGGTGGTTTTAACATAATAGGGTCAGAAATACATGATTGTGATTCTGACCCTATAGTGCTCTTTTAAGCAAGAGTATGTGAAGAGTAGTTAGGGTTGCCACCTTTCTTGGAAAAAAATACCAGCCTTAATCATTTGTATAATCACAAGGAGTGACATCAGAGAAAATTCTGTAAAATCACCAACAAACTACTCACAGGTTGATTCTGCTGTATAGATGGATTGCTACCAGTGTCTCAGTCTCGCAAGTCACCCAATGTCTCAGTGTTCTATGTATCACAGTGTCAGTGTCCCCATGTCGCCCACTAGGACATGGGGACACAGACATTTAGGGAAACTGTGAGAAATGGGGACACTGAGACACTAGAGACACAGACATTGGGAGACATGGGGAAACTGAAACATTTGGGGACACTAAGACACTAGGGACACAGAGACATGGGGACACAGACACTGGGAGACTAGGAGACACTGGTTGGGAGACAGACACTTGGGGACACTGGGAGACATGGGACAGTTGTGGACATAGACATGGGGACACTGGGACATATAGGGACACTGGGCACACTGAGAGACATGGGACACAGACACTGGGAGACTTGGGGACACTGAGACTCTAGCAACACTGGATGGGGGACATGGGGACACTGGGAGAAATGTCTCCGTGTCCCAATGTCTCAGTGTCTCCCAATGTCCCTATGTCTCACAGCATCCCCATGTGTCCCAGTGTACCCTAGTGTCTCAGTGTCCCCATGTTTTCCAGTGTCCCCAAGTGTCAGTGTCCCCATGTTTTCCTGTGTCCCAGTGTTTCCAGGTCTCCCAGAGTCTGTGTCCCCTAGTGTCTTTGTCCCCATGTGTCTCCTAGTGTATGTGTCACCTTGTGTCTGTGTCCCCATATGTCCCCTAGTGTCTCAGTGTTCCCTAGTGTCTCAGTGTCCCCATGTGTCCCTGCTGCCTTTCCCCCCTATCCCTCACTTATCTGAGCTGTAGAGCTGACTCTCTGTGCTGTGTTGTTGCTCCCCACGGATCAGTGAGTAGCAGAGAGAGGCAGAGAGGGATATGCTGTAACTTTCTATCCCTGCCTCTCTTCACACACAGTGACCCCTACTGGCCGGTGCTGGTATTGCAGAGTAATCTCCATTTATACTGAGAAAAATACCTGTGTTGTATTGCCGGTATTACTGCAATACCAGCATGGCCAGGCCTTAAATACCGGCTGTGCCAGTAAAATACCAGTCAGGTGGCAAACCTAAGAGTAGTGTGCAAAAAAAAAAATTTTAATTTTTTTTTTTTTTTAAATGGGCCTATTCCATGGGCCTGGGCCTGGGCCTGGAGCTGCAGCTCCATCAGCCCCTATGTTAATCCGGCCCTGACTCTGGGGATTGCTATATTCACTATACTTCCCAGGGTATGATCACTAAGTTCTGCTAAGAGCTTGTTCCTGCTCTCTGGGGAAAGAGGTTCACCCACTGGAAGCTGGATCCTGGCCTTAGGTCCAGGGTGGGTGGAGACAGCAGAGACCCCAGCGCAGTTGCATCGCTGGAAGTGGGGTCTGCAGTGCTGATGGTGTCGGTTGGAGTGCTTGGAGTCCTCGGCAAGCGCTAGGAGCATCGATTGGTGGAGGTACTCAGTCGGAGTGCCAGCGTTCCGTCAAACCCAGTATGTAATATAAGATATTACAGTGCCTGTAGTAATAGCTAATATCACACAGTATGTAATATAAGCTATTATGGTGCATGTAATAATAGTTAATATCACACAGTATGTAATATAAGATAATATGTTGTATGTAATAATAGTCAATAGCACACAGTATGCAATATAAGCTATTACGGTGTATGTAATAATAGCTAATACCACACAGTATGTAATATAAGCTTTTACGGTACATGTAATAATAACAGCTAATATCACAGTATGTAATGTAAGATATTACGCTGCCTGTAATAATAGCTAATATCACACAGTATGTAATATAAGCTATTATGTTGCATGTAATAATAGCTAATATCACATAGTATGCAATGTAAGCTATTATTACATGCACCGTAATATCTTATATCACAGAGTATGTAATATAAGATATTACGGTGCATGTAATAATAATTAATAGCACACAGTATGTAATATAAGCTATTACGGTGCATGTAGTGCTAGCTAATATCACACAGTATGTAATAGTAGCTATTATTACATGCACTGTAAAAACTTATATCACACAGTATGTAATATATATTACAGTACATGTAATAATAGTTAATATTACACAGTATTTAATATAAGATATTACGGTGCATGTAACAATAGTTAATAACACACAGTATGTAATATAAGATATTACGGTGCCTGTAGTAATAGTTAATATCACACAGTATGTAATATAAGATATTATGGTGCATGTAATAATAACAGCTATCACAGTATGTAATACAAGATATTAGGGTGCCTATAATAATAACTTATATCACACAATATTTAATATAAGCTATTACGATGCATGTAATATTATTCGATATTAGAGTTGATGAGATCACATTGTGCTCTGGATATTCAGTAATGCTGCCATTAACTCTAGATTGAAGCTGATTGAGTAAGAACCATAGAAACCGCTGCCTAATTTTTTACATGAAGGTGATCAGATCCACCATGTTTTCAGGGAACGATATCATTTTATTATATTTCTGAAACTGTATTAATTGTTGTGCCCTGCAGTATGTATAATGTATATACTGAGGATTCTTCATTGCCTAATGTCATACACAATTCTACCTTTTCATGTGCTGCCCATCAATGTGTATACGTAATGCGTGTCCCTGAAACCATGGTGGGTCCAGTAACTCTATTTATAGGGATTTCATATTACCATCTCCAGATTATGTCGGTGCTATAGAGATGATTTAACAAGCTGTCCTCTCAGTTCCCCAGTACGAATCGTGCTGCCTTCTCTTCCTGAGTTACTTAGTAACTGTACACAAACTGTCAGCTCTGGGACACAAAGGAATGTCTGCCAATCCCTCTCAGGGTGTGAGCTGAATAACACTTTCATTTCACTTTGAAACAGCTGTTGACAATATAGCATTTAAGTGAAGGCTAGATTAGTTATCTAGGTCTACTTCTAAACAGGGGAACAGTTTAAACTTGTAGATTGTAAGCTCCTGGGCTACTTTGCATAAAAGATATTTAATAGCTAGCTCTCAGCTCACCAGCAGTGCCTTCTTTACCTTGTGTGTCGGTCTGTATATGTTACACTTTCTTTTTCTCCAATTGTAAAGCGCTGGGGAATATGTTGGAACTTTCTAAATACCAATAATAATAATAATAATAATAATTCAAGCTACATCGACTCCCTCATGATCAGTTCTACTGCGCTTCAGATTCTAGATTTCGGTTTCCCCAAACTCATATTGACTTATCTTTCCATTTATTTGGAACAATAAGACACCTGGCTTTACTAGACAACAGAAAGAGCTGAGTGGCTACTAAAAGCTGTAACACATGGAAGTCAGGTTTAAAATCGTGCTATTTACTATCACGTGTCAGAGTAAGCAGTAAGTAAGCCCAGCGCTGGGAAAATAGCCGGTTAAAAATGGGGGAATCCGATAATAGGAACAACTCAATCAGCCCGCTCAGGGCCAGGAGATTCCCATTCTACTGGGCACCCCAAAAATACGCCCCTACCTCTCACTCTCACTAATAGTAGCGAGGCAAAGAATGCTATTAAAGAATCCTAATGTAACACGATGGAAGAGGATTGATCTATACACATTACCAGGCAGCCAATCACAGGGATATTTTATAATGCATCAGATTTTATTCTGTACAGTTTCATTGGAATGTGATGAGTTTTCATTCAATCTTTTTGGTGAAAGAAAGATTTAAGAAAGACGTTCTTCATTAAAAACCTCCGATGGTAAATATTGTTTTTAATTTTGGTTCTCGATTACTATTATTATTAGTGCAGGTGAGGTAGGTGGTTATGGTGTGTGGAGCTTGTTGGATCAGTTATTCCATTTTGAATTCTATTGAAATGTTTGTGTACATTGTCTTACACTGTATCCGTGCCTGATTCTATTAACCCCATAAGGACGGAGCCAAATGTACACGTTGTGAACAAAACAAAATGTAAACAAAACCTGGCATTTGCGCTACATGTCTGTCCAACCGTAATTCTCCTCTTTCATAGTAAATGCTCCCACCCTTATTATATATCATTTTATTCAGGGGAAACAGGGCTTTCATTTAATATCAAATATTTAGCTATGAAACATAATTTAATATGAAAATGGGAGAAAATAGGATTTGTTTTGATTTTTTTTTAGTTCTACATGACATTTTAACTGTCAATGTCATAATACTGTTTGCTTTTACTGCACTAAAATACACATATTTGTATTCAGCAAAGTCTCACGTGTAAAACAGTACCCCCATGTACAGGTTTTATGGCGTTTTGGGAAGTTACAGGGTCAAATATAGCACGTTACATTTGAAATTGAAATTCACCAGATTGGTTACGTTGCCTTTGGGACTGTATAGTAGCCCAGGAATTAAATTTACACCCATAATGGCATACCATTTTCAATAGTACACAACCCAAGGTATTGCAAATGGGGTGCGTCCAGTCTTTTTTAGAAGCCATTTGGTCACAAACACTGGCCAAAGTTAGCGTTAGTATTTGTTTGTGTGTGAAAAATGCAAAAAACGCCAATTTTGGCCAGTGTTTGTGACTAAGTGGCTACTAAAAAAGACTGGACATACCCCGTTTGCAATACCTTGGGTTGTCTACTATTGCAAATGGTATGCCATCATAGGGGTAATTTTCATTCTTGAGCTACCATAGGGTCTCAAAGGCAACGTAACCAATCTGGCGAATTTTAATATGAAAAAAATGAAACACAATTTGACGCTGTAACTTTTGAAAACACATTAAAACCTGTACATGGGGGGTACTGTTGTACTTGGGAGACTTCGCTGAACACAAATATTTGTGTTTCAAAACAGTAAAAAGTATCACAGCAATAATATCGTCAGTGTAAGTGCTGTTTGTGTGTGAAAAATGCAAAAAACTTAACTTTTACTGGCAATATCATCGTTGTAATACATTTTACTATTTTGAAATACAAATATTTGTGTTCAGCGAAGTCTCCCGAGTAGAACAGTACCCCCCATGTACAGGTTTTATGGTGTCTTGGAAAGTTATAGGGTTAAATATAGTGCTAGCAAATTAAATTCCCTATACTTTTGGCATGCGTTGTCAGGCAGGTCCGGCTAATTGTAATTAATTAAGATACCTAATTTTGTAAAAATGTTCCATAACTATTTATGTAGCATTAAAATATATATATATATTTGTGTTAGGTGCTTAAGATAGTACAGTATGAAATACCATGAATAAGCGTAGGATGATAAAAGGAGCAAGTCGGTTGTGGTGTGCCAAAACCGACGATGAGGTAGGCCTGAGAAAGAAGAGGGCCCACCCAGGAAAAGAAATAGAAAGGAAAATAAATGTTAAAAGTGGTGTGGTGGGAGGGTCATTCAACGCTGACCTCGAACGGTAAGGAGCAAGGTAAGGGGATCGCCTTAAGTAGGCTAGGGGTAGCAAACCAGCACCTCCCACAAATGCAGGCAAATTGCCTTAATACTTGTGTTAGGTGCTTAAGATAGTACAGTGTGAAATACCATGAATAAGCGTAGGATGATAAAAGGAGCAAGTCGGTTGTGGTGTGCCGAAACCGACGATGAGGTAGGCCTGAGAAAGAAGAGGGCAAAAATTAAGTAATCCAATTTATTAACAGACAACCAATACATATACATTTATCAACCAGACATGTTTATGAAAGCATCTCTTAACTCTTGTACTGGGTTCGGTATGTACCGTGAGTAAGCGGATGACTTCCAGCGCCCCAGTGTTTTGATAACATGAGCTGGGACGTTGAAACTGGAGGCTGTGGACGCGGCTCCTATACGAAAGGAGTGTCCTGAGTAATTGTTTGCGTTGAGGCCCAGTTGTGTGAGCAAGGACCTGACGTAGGTCATGAAGGTTGTAGTGGTGAGTACTGCACCTTGTAGTTGTAATAACGGTTGCGAGGGCAGTAAGTGATGGTGCTGTATGTAGGCATCAAGAACTTTTACGGGACACCATCTGTTGTGCGCGGGGTAGTACGGAATGTTTACAGGTATGTGCTGGCTGGTTTTGGAGTGAGGTAAAGACAGGATGTAATGATCCATATGTTTTGTCAAGTGGGAATAGAGGAGGAATGGAGTGGTTTGGGTCGTGGAGGTCGTAGTGAATTCTCTGGGTCGTAGAAATCCATAGAAAGCGATGTATATTGCTGTTTTGATGATAGAATTCGTATTAGTGTCAAACGGTTTCAGGTCGAGTAGGTTAGATAAAGCTTTGAAGATATGGTTATCTATGGGTAGCCTCTGGGCCAAATGTGTGGGTTCTGATTTTGAATACCTCTGAGTATGGTCTTAATTTGGTGAGAGGCCATGAAACTGTTGTTATTTGGGTGTAAGATGAGCATGTGGTGTTGAATGCCAGTGAGATAGAGTTTGATGGTGTTATATGACAATTTGAGTTTAAGGTGGCAAAAGGAAGCAAACCCCAAAAAGATGTCATAACAAACGGTTGTATGATGTTATGTTCCAGAAGGAATCGTTTGAATAGTGTGAAAGCCCTGTTGTATGTTTTGTTTGTATTGTGTGAAAGTGCCAACTGAGACAATGTCCTGCTATGCTGCATGATGACGTCTAGTCCAGTATGAGTTGTTGAAATGTTGGAGTGATGGTGGCTGTGGGTGCTGCTGACGGGAGTGCTTGATGAAACTCCTGAAATTTAAAGCGAGACAAACTGTCAGCAGCTGTGTTGTATACACCTGGCACATGGAAACAACATAGGAAGAAATTATGACAAGCTGCCAACCAAGTGAGTTTCCTCAGAAATCTCATAATCGTAAGAGATTTGGAACGACCTTTGTTGATGATGTGACAGGTCGCCTGGTTGTCTGAGTAACAACGCACTGGCGTATTAGCCCATAAATGACCCCACGCTACGGCAGCCGCCACTATGGGGTAGATCTCAAAAAGAGCTGAGGTAGTGGAAAAACCTTCCAAATCCAGAACTGCTGAAGGCCAGCTGCCCCAAAGCCATTCGTTCCCAAAAATTGCTGCAAAACCAGTGGTAGATGCCGCATCTGACCAAATGGTAGGAGATGATTCAGTCAATTGAGGGAGGAACATACTTTACCATTCCAAGTGGTTAAAACCCTCTTCCACATGTTTAGATCTGCCGTAGCTTGGGCATCTAAGGACAACCTGTGCGTGTCATGTAGAAAAAGTGGGAAAAGATGCAATAGTCGTGAAATAAAGGAGCGGCCTTGAGGTATGATGCGCATTGCAAAATTTAGTGACCCCAGCAGGGACTGTAGTTCTTTGCGATTGCAAGTGCCGAGCTGTAGGTAGTTGTTAATGTAAGTGAGAATATTGTCTATCTTTTCGTAAGGTATGCTTGCTTGCATTGTGGCAGAGTCTAACTGGATACCCAGAAAAGTGATAACCGTGTCTGGCCCTTCTGTTTCTTTGGGGAGATGGGTACACCTAGTTGCTCAAACAGCTTAGTGGTAGCTTTGAGGTTAGTGGGAGGTGCAGTATTCTCCTCGACCAGTAGGAAATCGTCCAAATAATGTAATACTGTAGGGCATCCGGCTATGTTCAATAGTAACCAGCATAGTGCTTCGGCAAATGTGTCGAAAATAGCTGGGCTACTTT